TCAGAGAGGGGTTTTTCGGTTGGAAAGAAGCATGTCTCCGCCATGGACTAAATATGGGTGGTGGACGACATGAGGCTGCTTTTGTGATAATGCCCAACTTGTTGGCTGGCAATGACGATGCCTGTGCTATCTGAGGCTGATGCTGGTGTGACCACCAGGAAACAACCTGCCTGAACATCAACAAGACCTGGCCGCAAACATACACTGTGTGGCCTTTCTGATCACCACAAATGGCAGTTTTTAGTAAAAAAATGCTACACACCTGGCTCCTTTTTTGTGTTTCTCCCCTGCGTTTGTGGGAAGGTGTAATAAGGGTACAAGCGGGGAGGCACCCAGGACAGGTGACGTGAGGTCTCAGGAAAAGCAGACAGTGTCCCAGAGTTCAGGGCACAGGCCCAGGAGGCTGGGGATCAGACGCTGACTCGGCCGAGGAAGGCAGGCATATCCCACAACCTCCCTGGGCTCAGGACCCTCCACTGAAGTGTGGACAGGAGACCAGATCCCTTTTTTTATTTGTTTTTTCTCCTCTAAAATACCACAATTGGAGAAATTCAGTTGAGCGAACTACAGAAGTGGTTATCTTGACCACAGTGCTAACTTATCTGAATCTTGCTAGCGCCTTCCCTGATACAGGGAGAGGGAACGTAAGGGTCAGGCCAACTGATATTTTACTAGTCGAGGAATAGGAACTCATCCTAAAGCGAGACCTCTGTTTACCCAAGAGTGTTAGTTTGGGTAAGGAAAAGGGTCAATGAAGATAGAGCAAGAGCCAACCCTTGGACTGAGGTGAGAGTGGTAAGGGAGAAATGGAAAAGAGACACACTTGAAGGAAGGACTACACCCACCCCCAGTGCTTGGAGCTTTTTCCAAAGTGGGAGGCCCACTTCCAATGAAAAAGAAATCAATTGAAAGGCAATGCACGTTCAGTTTATAAATGCTAGAACAGCAACAACCAAGGACAACAGAACAATAGCTATTATCCTACCCCACAGAGACCAATACCCTGGTGGACATCCTTCCAAAAGACACACACCCGACACACACTTTTTGAGAAATAAGATGACATTATATTGTTTATTGTGAAGGGCACCAAAAGATGCCACCCCAAAACATGACTCTTCGGATATGAATTATTGGGAGCTAAAGGCCATCCAGAACCAACAGACTCAGGAAAAGCTCTAAAACAGGCCTCAAAGTTTTCATTTTTGTAAGGGAAATTTGCATCTATTAAGGAAATATCCATTTGTAAAAGGATGTCTTGACTGTTGTATTAGGAAGAGGAGGACTCTTAACAACTCTCACCAGTCGACATCAGTCTGCACAACAAACCTCACTGAACAACCCTTGTTTACCATACTATGTCTGGTCACCTCATAACTTGCCTCCCCACCCCAGAATACCAAAACCCCTTTTTCTTTGCCTAAAATGGTATAAGCCCAAGTTCTAACCAACCCTTCAGATTAGTCATCACTGGATGGCTCCCACATGTACACGCGATGCACGTGTTAATAAACTTCCATGTGCTTTTCTCTTGTTAATCTGTCTTTTGTCAGAGACCCTAAGATGAATAGAAGAAAAAGATGGTTTTTTTCCATCTCCTACAACTCTGACCTGTTTTTTTTTTCATATTCCACAGTTTGTCCATTTCATTATTTACTTAATCAATTTCCTTCTCTTGAACATTTAAATTGTTTCCAGTTTTGACTTAAAAATACTGCAGTGTATAAACTTATAGCCAAGTCTTAGTACATATCTTTCATTACTTCCTTACAATAAAATCATCCTTGTGTACCTGGTAGGTCAAAATATAAATATTTTTGATGCTTCCAACTCACAGTAACAAATTGCCCACCAGAAACTGTACCTATCTGTAGTTCTACTGACTATATACAAGAATGTCTGTTTTCACCGTCATCAACACTGTATGTTTTGGCTTTTTAAACAAAAGATGAAAAATGCATCTGTGTTAAAACTGACATTTTTAAATTTATAAATTAACTATGTTTTCATAGATTTGGTATTCAACAGTATTTCTTCTTCTGAGAATTGCTCTTTTTACAGCTTTGACCCATTTTACTATTAAGGTATCTATCTTTTCTTTCTTTGTTTACAAGAAAAATTAAAATTTTTGTCATATATCTTGCAAATAATGTGCCCCTTTTCGTACTTTGTCATTTAGTTTTTTATGGTTTTTTACATACAAAAGTTTTAAATTTCACAGAGTCTGTTCTATCAATCCCTTTCTTTTTCAAGGTTTCTACCTTTGAAGCCAAGCTCATGGCTCAGAATTGAAATAGATGTGAGAAGAGCAGAATTAATGTTCTAAACAGACAGAAAGCCCCTCTCCACTTGCTCCATGAGAGCTTAGGAAAAGGAAAGTGAGAAAAAGAGGGCAACCTCCCTCGAAAGCCGAAGCAGGTTAAGGATGGCTGTCACCACATTGTCCAGAACAGGCCTGGACGGGATGGAGTTGGACAGTGGTTAATGGGTTAATTAGCCACCTAGAAGCAGGGACACAACATATTAATTGTTTCTCAGGTCTGCATACACTTTCGAAAACAGCATGTGTGTCATAAGCATCCTCTAAAAAATAGTTATTACAAAAATGTGTTCATTATCAAAATGTTTAACTTCACAGAAGCTGATTAAGTGAAAGGAAAAAGTTTCCTTTCAGCCCCCTAGCAATCTAAGTCCTGAAGGAGAGCACTGTTAAAAGTTCAGCATGAATCCTTCCACACGTTTCCATGCATACACTATAATAATATAGGACAGCATGATACGGTCTAATATAGTACAGTACAGTATAGTATAACACAGTATAATACATACAGTGGGGTTATACTATATATACTGTTTTGCAACTTGTTCTTTTCATGTGATTTACCAAAGGTATCTTTCTATGTCTCCCTTTTAGGTCTACTTCATTCTATTTTGACCATCACACAATATTTCATAATATAAATATACAATAATTTTAGTTGTTTGCAATTTTTTATTACAAAAATAAATGCTACAATCAATGTCCTTGAACAGAATTTTCACACATTTATGCAATCATTTGTGTAGAATAGATTTCTCAAATTAAAATTACTGGATCAAAAAATACATATATTTTAAAGTTTGGTGGAAATTGTCAAATTCCACCCTCCCAGGAGGTTTTGATTTATATTCCCTTTAATATTGTATGAAGGTGCCTGTTTCTCCCCACATTCAGGTCAATAATGTAAATTATTATTTTTCATTATACCAATCTGATGATAAAAAATGGTATTTTATGGCTATGATATATAGATATACATATGGTGAAATTAGACTATTCTTATAAGTTTAACATTTCTTCTGTGAAGTATTTCTTCTATAAACTAGTCATTTACTTCCTTTGCTCATTTTAAAAATTGTTTTTTTCTTATTGATTGATAGAAATTATTTATATATCTTGGATATTAATACTTTTTCACTTATATTACAAATGTTTTGTCATGTCTTTTCATTTTGTTCATTATCTCACTGCCTATACATAAATTTTACATTTTTATTTGGTCAATTGTGTCCATATTTTCTTTATTACTTCTGGGATTGTGTAGTATGTGCAGGTAGGTCTTCCATTCTCAAAGGTATAAAAATATCTTCCTGTATTGTCTTTTTAGCATAATTACAGTTTTTTTTAGCATTTATAATTTTAATGCAACTGTAATTTATTATTGTGAATGATGTGAATTAGGGATTTATCACATAATCATAAAGTAAATATATGGGCTTTTTTTTACCCAGTGGTAAGGATTAATTGCTTTGACTTCATTTCAATTCCAGGGCAACTTTCTGAGAGATAATATCCATACTTGTACTAAAGTTGAGAAAGAAAACAAGCACAACTTTAAAATTCTTACTTATGTTGTCCTAAGGAATCATAAAACTGGAAATTTGCTTTGGAAATCTGTCACCAGATTATCCCTTTTTTCTGTGGCTGGGTCTCTCTGGGCGTCTTTTTCAGGGCGCGTCTACCTCCCACCACTGTCTCTCCTGTATCGTACATTTCCTTGCTCTTTTTCTCTCCCAGTCCCCTCTCACTTTTCTTTTTCTCTGTTTTCCTCCCTTTCCTTAACCATCTATAACGTTATTCACCTTAACTATGTTTGAATCATTTGTTCTGGTTATTTAATAGTATCTCAGTCTCTATGCTCCTTTTTTTTTTTTTTTGGAACAAGTTTTTATTTATCTGTAAATTTCAATAGGATTGCAAAATGTAAGCTAAATATAAGATTTGGAGATTTCAAGCATTTATAGCTGAGACTCAATTTGTTTCTTTTTACCACAAAAATAATTTCAGAACATTAAAAACATCTTTTGGAAAAGAGAATATATCCATTTTCTAATCATTTCATACGTATACATTTTCTAATATCTATAATCATAGGATAAATATTTGTATACTATTTGCTTGTGAACAGCTACCTATATTTCTATGTGGTCTTGTTAGAGGCAATATAGTTGAGTGGATAGAAGACGGACTGCAGGGTTGAATTTGGCTCCTCACGTACATAAAGGTGATCCTGGGTGATTTACTTAGCTTTTTAGTTCCTTTTCAATGGTGATGATAAATCCACTCACCCTCCCAAATTTTTTTCTGTGAGGATCGAAATGCGGTAAGAAAACACACACTTGTAAACACACCTGCTCCGGCAAAGGAGCGCATCAGAGGGATCTGTTTGCTGTGGGGGCGGGGGGGTAGGGGAGCAGGGGAGTCTATGCTACCGTAAAAGAAGCAGAGCTGGCCGATTAGCTCACTTGGTTAGAGCGTGATGCTGATAACACTAAGGTCAAGGTTCAGATCCCCTTAGTAGACAGCAGTCAAAAAAGCAACAAAAAAGAAAAAAAAAAAAGAAGAGGAAGAAAAAAGAGAGGCACGTGGTTAAGCTCTCAGGGGGTGGACTCCATCTGTCCTACTTCATTCAGTTCCTTTTGCAAGAAGAGCTCACAATCACAAGAAAACTACCCCAAAGATGAGCCTCCCTTGTAAAATTTTAGCCAGCTTCCTTCTGATTTTCAACTTTTCTGCCAAAGGTAAGTTGGTGTGTGGGTTTCCACAGTCACTGTTAGAAGCGTCTTCGGAGACCGTGAAGTGAGCCTAAGAGTCAAAGAGGTCACAGCCAAGCTTTCCCTGGCAGTGACTCCCAAGACTGACTGTCTTTGCTTTTTACAGGTGCTGTCGCCGAAAAGGTTATAGTCGTCTGGGGTGCCTTGGATCAGGACGTCAACTTGAACATTCCTAATTTTCAAATGAGTGACAATATTGATGATATACGATGGGACACAGAACCAAACAAGACCAAGGTTGCACAGTTCAAAACAAGCAAGGGAACTTACCACCTAAATAAGACATATGAGTTATTAGCAAATGGAACTCTGAAAATTAAACATCTGGACAGAAATTATAACAATAACTACAAGGTATCAATATATAATAAAGAAGGAAGAAACGTATTGGAAAAAACATTCGATTTGAGGATTCTAGGTAAGTCTTCGTTCCCTAAGTTCATTCACCTCAGTGTGGGTGCTATTTAGCAAGTTGGGAAATAGCATTTCTGAATATCCCCAGCCCTGGCTTCTGCCTCCAGGGGAACTTTGAAGAAAATCTAACGCATCCTCCTACCCCAGTAGAGACTGCAGTCCTGTGGGGGGTGGCGTGGAATCCACATATGTGGAGACACACAGCTGAGAGACCTCAAGTCTGTCTGCCTACAGCTCTCTCTTCAGGTGGCTACGTGGATGTGGGCTAGGTGGAGAACCTGAATTAAGGTGCCATTCACCAGGAGGGGGACAGGTGGGCAGAGGAAAAAGGTGACTGTTTCAGGTGTGGGATGAAGGGACGAGCTGGGCGTAGGGCAGGGAAGGAGAGGCTTACCGGAGAGCAGTAGGTCTTTTCTTCCAGAGAGCCAATTTCAAGCCAGGGTGCCCTGAAGGAGTAGTTATATGGCAGGAAAGGGCTGAAAAACAACAAATTTAAGGATAAGCAGCCCTGGTTTCTGATCTGCTCAACATCAGTGATTGAAGGTAGAAGGTGATTTTTGCTGATCTGCATAGAAAAAAGCCACAAGGTGTGGCTTTGTATGTCTCTGCAGGTAACTGGGAGGGCAGAGTGGATATTGGAGATGAAGTGGGGATGACCAGCCAGAAAGCAGCTGCTATAAGCCAAAGGAAGTGGAGAAGGGCTGGTTGGTGCTTCTTAATGCTGGTCGCACATTGGAATGAACAGCGATGCTATCAAAAGTTACCCATGCCCAGGCCCCATCCAGGACCAATTAAATCGGAAGTTTGGGGCATGGAGTCCTGGGAATCAGTAGGTTGTAAAGCTTCCCAGGTGACTCTAATGAGCAGCCAAAGTTGGAAACCACTTGGCCTAGACTCAGGGGTGCCTGTAAAATGAGGGAGAATGAGAATGGGGGGATGGGGCGTGTGTGGAGAAAGGACAAGCAAGGTGGCTCGCGTGAAGGAGAGAAGACAGAGAAAGCGGAATTGAAATGCTATTGAAGTCGAAAGTCCAGCGGACACTGGCAGGGAATGATAAGATGGGAGAGGAAGAAGCTGCACTTGGCTTGGAGAGGAAGACAGGAAGGCCAGCCTGAGCACAGGCCAGTGATGCAGTGAGCAGATAAATACTTCCTTGCTTCACACAGAAAAGTTTGCCAGAGGCAAGGAACTGTCCCTTTAGGCTCTCCCTCCAGCCCTATTCTCAGCTCCTGGACCTAGCAGCAGCCCCATGCCCACAAGCCCAGACACTGTCTGCTCCTCTACAAATGACAGCGTTTCATACCCTAGTCTTACAACCTTAAATGGAGAGCACCTTCCAGAAATGGAGCGGGGCTGAGAAGGATGTGGAAGGGGCCTCTGGTAATGGGCTCTGAGAGCCACAGATGTTATCCTCCAGTCAGCAAGCCTGGAGTGTCCTGTTTTGAACTGGTGCTTCCACATTCTTGTGGCATTTAGTATTGTGGTGGTGATAATGGCTACCAGCTAGGTGTCAGGTGCTTTCTTGCATGATCTTATTTAAAGCTCCCAGAAATCCTGAGAGGTAGTCGTTATTATCCCTTTATTTTCTGTAAAGAAACAGAGACCCAGAAGGAAGCGACTTGTCCAAGGTCTCATTGCTTAATGGGAGCAAAGTCAGGATCCAAACCTGGGATCCTTTTGGCAGGGTCGGTGACATTTTTTGATTTTTCCAAACAGCCCCATTAAGATATAATTCCTATACCATACAATTTGCTCATTTGTTTATTTATCTACTTGGCTAGATTTTAATATTTTAAATTTTTTGGCATGGCTGGTGCAGGGATCCAAACCTTTGACCTTGGTGTCTTAACACTGTTGTTTAAACAATTGAGCTAATCAGCCAGCCCCAATTCGTTCATTTAAAGTTTACAATTCAATGGCTTTTTATATATTCGGAGCTGTGCAACAATCACCACAATCGAATTGAGATTGCTTAATTCACAGAGTTGTGAAAACATCACCACAGTCAACATTTTCATTACCCCAAAAAGAAACCACACCCCTTAGCTAAAATATAGTAGAATTGTAGGTGATTTTTAAAATGCTTTAAATATTTTTTATGTTTTATCCATTTGTACGGTGTCTGGATGTTCCTGTTATAGAGAAAAGAGTATTTTCACACCTTCATTTTGAAGACACAGGTAACACCACGACCTAACCCCTACACTCTGTACTGACTCTGTGGCTGTATATTGATGTTTCTTCTTTTTCTTCATTCTGGGTCACACAGAATTTTGGGATGAAAAGGAAACTTAATTTCTGCATGCCTGTATATTGGGACAGAAATGAAATTTGGCTGGGACAGTCTATGGGAAAGATACTGTCTGGAAGTCAGAGAGGCAGGGAGTCATTGAAAAATAAGCTGTCCATCTGCATTATGTGTAGAGAAACCAAGAGGAAAAGGTGGCGAGGCTGGGGGAAGAGAGTAGAGGATGAGAGAAAGAACAGAAGAGGAGAAAAAGAACAAGGTCACACAACTAGGAAGCAGAGGAGCTAGAATTCACACCTGACCATCTAACACCAAGGCCGCCGTTTTTCTTTTATGACATAGCCTTTAAATATTATGACGGAAAAGGAGAGGCAAAGAGTTTATGATTATGAATGCGAGAACCATCACTCATAATATCAGTACCTACCAATTTTCCGTTTGCTGCATGTATCCCTTTTGTTACAGGTGGGGAATATTTTTCTTATCTTTCATTTATAGATGAGGTTCAGTGAGGCACAGTAAATAGTCAAGCTTTGAGCTAGCAAACACTCAGCTTTGAGCTAGGAAAAGGCAAAACCAAGTCTCTGGTTTCCAAGCTGGTGCCCTTTCTCTGCAGGGCCTTGAGCTGTTAGACATCCAGCACTCTGCTCCCAGGACTCTGGTGGAAGCAGAGAGTGACTAAGGTCCCAGGCCACACATGTAATGATTTCTCCAAGATTGGGTTCCTGGCTGCTCTTTAAGCATCACACCCCTCAAGCTCCTGGGGTGAGTGGGGATCAGGGCATGGTAACACTTTTACCCATTCTTCTGAACGTGGACTCAGAAGGCTGAGCTCATCTCCTGATCTGCCACTTTTTAGGTGCTGCCCTAAGACCACCCACTGAACCGCTCAGAGCCTTGGGCATTCTGTCTGTAAATGGGAAGAAAAACGTAAAACGTCAGCCTCTGTTTGTTAGGGTGAAATGATATCACACGTGTGAAAACATTTTAAGGTATAAAACAGCACATAAATATTAGATTTAGTACACTTTTTACTCGCATAATGTATCTATGAACTTTATCAGAGATAAACTTGTTCTGAATGCTCTATGTGAATAAAATAAAATAAAAATGATTTTCAAATTTTCCAGCAGTAGCAGGCCTTTGAAATTGTTCATTGGTCCCAAATTGACTCCATTTCCCCCTATATAAATAGGTATATTTATTAAAATTAGAAAATTGCCTAACATGAATTGGATCTTTATTCTCTTTTTAGAGATGGTCTCGAAACCAAATATCTCCTGGAATTGCGTCAACAAAACCCTGACCTGTAAGGTAGTGAAAGGAACTGACCTTGAATTAAATCTGTATCAAAGCGGGAAACACATTGGCAAAGGTCATCAGAAGGTCATCACAAAGAAGTGGACCAGCAACCTGAAGATGACATTCAAGTGCACAGCAAGTAACAACGTCAGTGAAGAATTCAGTGTGGTGACTATCAACTGTTCAGGTGCGTTGTCTACATCATGGATTTACTTCATAAACACAGCCTGCCGGGCCCACGGCAGGCAGAGGCACGCCTGCTCCAGGGCACAGCTGCCAGGCTGGGGGGCAGCCTTGGCCCAGGATAAGAAGTGAAAACATACGTATCTCTTTCTCCTGGAAACCTTCAAGGGAAGCCTTAGAGGAGGTGGTGTTCTATGGGTACCTATCCTGGGAGTCCTCTCACTGAGCACAATTTGACCTCAGGCAATTAAAAAGATCCTTTCTGAGAGAAAGAATTGCAGAATTGAAGAAGAAGGAATGGTAGAGATAAGCTCATGCAAACCCCATTTCCCGGAGAAGGAAACTGAGTTGCCCAAGGCCCCTGAGCTAGTTAGTGACCATGATTCCAACTTTTCCCCTAAAGATTCCTTTTTGGAGGGGAGATGGTCAGTGGTCAGCACCTCCTAACAGGAGGAAGGGTAGAAAGGCTGTAGAAGCCCTGGGAGGCAATTGCATGGGGGAAGGGAGAACTCGAGGCCAGGGAGGACTTTGGAGTGGGTGAGGCAACACTCCCCCTGCCGCACAGCAGGACAGCCTGGCACTGGGACTAGCTCCAAAACGTCCCAAAACTCCAGGAGTCTAATTTATCACCAATGTCTCAGCTCGACGTGACTCCCGGAAATAATTTTTGAGAGGCAGCCTGCTATAGTGTTAAAGCTCTGGCCTGGGAGCCAGGGGCCTAGACTTCTAGTTTGGGAGTGTCCAAATGTAGCCGGATGAGCTTGACAGAGTGTCTTTCCCTCTCTGGGCTGTAGCATCCTGGTCCACAAAGAACGTGAGCTCCATGATCACAGATTATCAGATGAGTAGGCTCTTGGATTCACTTCCAGGGTCACTCACGTGGCCACTGAGCTCACGTGGGCCATGGGGTGCCTCACGATGTGGCAGCCAGCGTCCCCTGGAGCAGTCTAAGAGAGACTGAGGATGAGTGCCCAGAACAAATCCACGGTCTTTCTATAACTGAATCTCAGGAGTGGCATGCCATCGCCTCTGCTGTAGTCTGTGCACTAGACATAAGTCAGTAAGTCACAGGGGACTATGCAAAGGCGGAAGTGCCAGGGGGTGGGGTCGCTGGGAGCATCTGAGAGGGTGCCAGCCACAGACTTAGACCAGCATCACTTCACCCCCTCGTGCCTGCCCACCAGCCACCCTCCCACAGCCCCGCACCGATAAGGCACAGTGAGCAAAGCGGCCCCTCCTGACCTCATACCCTTCGCTCCCCTCTCAGGAGCCTTTTTTTTTTAAATCCAAAAATTTTATTATTTCATTTCATTTTTCTATTGAAGCACATTGATTATATATATTTGTAGGCTACAGAGCTCAATATTAATACATGTATACAATGCATGATGATTAAATCATGGTTATTAGCATATTCACCGTTATAAAACTTAAATGATCTCTTTGTGGTAAGGATATTTGTTCTCTTTTCTCCTAGCCATTTGATGACACACAGTACATTAATGTTAGTTATAGATACACAGCTCAAGCGTACATCAGTAGAACTTACTTTTCTTATCTAGCTGTTTTGCGTCCAAATTTGCCAGATTTAGTGAATAGAAATACAGGATAAGTATGTTCCAAGTATTGCCTGGAGCTTATGTATGCTAAAAATTATTTATTGCTTATCTGAAATTCAAATTTAACTGGACGTCCTGTATTTTAACTGACAACCCTACTCGTCATGATTTTTTTGACTAGATCCCATTTGTATAAAAATGTGTGTGTCTTAGGAATGGAGAAAAGAAAGAGGGAGGACCTTGGGAGAAGCCAAGGTTTGAAGGCTGGCACATTCATGTCCCTAATTCTATGGTGTAGACCAGGAGCCTGTCCAGGGATGGGCCGCGAAGGAGATGAGATAAATACCTGGGTTGGGGGGAGCAGAGTTTAAAAAGGAGGGGCTGCTCTTGAGGACCTTAAAAGGANTTAGTGAATAGAAATACAGGATAAGTATGTTCCAAGTATTGCCTGGAGCTTATGTATGCTAAAAATTATTTATTGCTTATCTGAAATTCAAATTTAACTGGACGTCCTGTATTTTAACTGACAACCCTACTCGTCATGATTTTTTTGACTAGATCCCATTTGTATAAAAATGTGTGTGTCTTAGGAATGGAGAAAAGAAAGAGGGAGGACCTTGGGAGAAGCCAAGGTTTGAAGGCTGGCACATTCATGTCCCTAATTCTATGGTGTAGACCAGGAGCCTGTCCAGGGATGGGCCACGAAGGAGATGAGATAAATACCTGGGTTGGGGGGAGCAGAGTTTAAAAAGGAGGGGCTGCTCTTGAGGACCTTAAAAGGGATCTGGACACTTTATTCTAAAAGGCCAAGGCACAGAGGACCAATGACCAGACTCTAACCATTTGACTCAGATAAGGTGAATGTGTATTTAAAACCAAAACACTAAGAGGAGGGGGCAGGCTCGGATACACAGGGAATACTCCATCCATAAACTTACAGTACATGACCTCCAAGAGGAACTGTAGGAAGGAAGTGTGGTTGGATTTAGAGACTGTGCAGACATATTTTTGAATGACAGAGCCACAGCTGCCTCTGAGACAAGCCGAAATGTTCCCCACCTAGAGCACCACCAGGCATCCCAGGGGCCACACTGGACAAACCTGAGAACAGACTGGGGAAGGCATTGCCTGCATTCCTAAGTGTACCCAGGATGAGGTGTCTGCCCTGCCAGGGACTCAGAAGATAAGCCGGTGGCTGCATGACTTAGACACACACTCCTCCACTCATTCCAAGCCTGCCCTGCCCACCCCGGGTCAAATCTGGAACGTCCCCAGCCCAGCACGAGATGAACTCTAGCAGCCCTAGCCCCTCGCACAGGCCAGCAGGGCCTAAAGGACCCCAAATCCTTCCATGGCCCAGTTTCAGTGATTGAGGAATATCCCTGCCTCTCTAATGGACGCTCCTTCATCCACAGAGCACAGAGGGGTGGGTGACTGCCAGGCAAAGAATGGGTCAGAGAGAGCCTTGAAGAAAGTCAAGGACGAACAAACTACTGCCTTCAGAAAACCTGCTAAGTTTGGTTCCTGGGCCTCCGGCTTGCTCCTTGGGGCCCATCCTGGGCTTCACGTACAACAGTCTCTTCCTAGGATTGCTTGGCTAGAGAAGCATTTCTTTTTGATGCTGGGCTGAGCTCCAGTTTCTTATCCAGATGGGCTAGTCCCATGACCCCCACCCCAGCTGCTGACTCTCTAACTGCTATTAGTTAGAGAGTCAGCTCAAAGGACAGATGGCCCAGCACCCCTCCCGGGAAACAGTTCCCAGAAACACCAGTGCAGAGAGCGCGAGTAAGAGGAAGACCTCACATTGGTGTGTTGTTTTACAGTTTACAAAGCACTTCCACATCCATTATCTGATTGACTTTCAACAGCCACCCTGTGATGTAGGTTTCATTATTTCCATTTTACAAAGAAGGAAACAGGCTCAGAGAGGCAGAGTCACTTGCCAAAGGTCACACAGCTCTTGCCTAGAAGAGCCTGGATCCAAACCCATTTCCCTTAATGCCGAAGTCATTGTTTTCCTCATTGTATTACAGCGACTAAGGGTCTGAGAACTGAAAACCCAACCGGCTGCTGTTGCTAATTCACTGTGCGTCTGTCTCTCTCATGGGGCCGGGGAAAATCTGGGAGTAGGTGCTGGCTTTGAGGTCAGAGCGCTGGGCTAGACGAGTGAAATATTTACCCTGAGTATGGAAACTGCCTGGTCTAGAGGGTGCAAGAGAGATGACGGAGACGGGAGCTGGATACAGTGCACAAACATCAAGACGGGGCTACCTAAAGGAACTGCTCAGAAACAGATATTTTTTGGGCAGCTCATCCTCCCTCTTGGGGCCTCATCTTTGAAAGTAGAGGTTACACTAGCTTATCTCTAAACTCCTTCTCAGATCTAAAGCTCTGCAATGCTCTCAATGGGGGGTGGTGGACAGGCCTTGGCACGTGGACAATCAGGCACTTCTAGTCCCCAAGAGCACTTCCCAAGGAGCCTTCAGCTTACCCTGGACCCTGCACCCCTTCAGAGATTGACAGAATTCACCACCCTTTGTGAACTTGGTCTTGTAAGGTTGAAAAGTCCCCATCAATTAACTGCATGATGCGGGAGGCAGGGGTCCTCGGTCCAGGCAACGAACTGATCTCTCTGCCCATGACCCCTTCCCCCACCCCACTTCTCTTCCTCTTACAGCGAAAGGTCTGGATGTCTACCTCATCACTGGCATTTCTGGAGGAGGCATCCTTCTGATGGTCTTTGTGGCGCTGCTCATTTTCTACATCAGCAAGCGGAAAAAGCGGAACAGCAGGAGAAATGGTAAGCTCCCCTCTTCTGTCCCCCTGCAGGCCACAGGAAAATCCCCGTGGAAACATCTATGGGGGTGACACCTTGAATCTGCAAAGAAAATAATGGAGATGAGTAGTTTCAGAATGTCAGGGTTGTAACCAGTGGTTATAGTTTGTTCCATTTTGTGGTTAGCTTGATTTTTGAAAAACAGATTCTTAGTGGTGGCGATGTGGGAGCTTTGAGAAGCTGAAGCCAGGCCAGCCTCACTGGAATCCACCAGCTGAGGCCCACGTGGTGTAAGGCTGGTGTGCACATATTTGGAATGAGCCACATATCTCTGCATGGATAGAAAGATTAGCTCCACAACACTATTTCCATGAGCAACCGTCTCGTTAGTGGGTGGCCCGGGGTGCGTTCAGGACCAAGCTCCTAGCAACACGGGTAAATCATTTCAGTCCATCAGGTACTCACAGGAAAACAGTTGTTCTAAAACAGGGCGACTGTGCTGCCAGTTTTAATTCACTGTTCAGGAGGGAGGTGTTAGGGCTGGGAGTGTGTTTTCCTCGCATCAGGCATGTCCGACAACTCACCCAGAATGAAAAGGTTATGCTCCCACATGGGGAACTGGCCCAGGGGGCCCCCATGCCACCTGAGGCAGAACACATCAGAGAACTACAAACCAGGGCCACCGCAGGTGCTAGAATGGGGTGTCAGCCACCAGCCAGAGGACAACTGGATCACAGGCCCCTGGGGTTCTGTGCAATCTCACATCACACAGGACTGGGCCCCTCGCTCAGGGTCTCTCCCTGGGGTGGGCCCCACACGCCTACACCTGCTACTTCCGGCATGGCCCACAGACCTTGGCTGAACCTCCACAGGCAGTGGTGGCCTTAGCCCTGTTCCCTTTGGGTTTGGCTTCCTTACTTCAGATTTCTTTCCTCAGTCCTCCCTTGGTCACCCCTTCAGGCCACTGCCCCTCAGCCCCACATCCCACCAAACCATTGCCCCCAGCCTGGGCCCTGGGACATCTTTCTAAACTTAGCATCCATTCTTCCTATCACCATTGCACCCACACTATTCACCCCCCTGGGACAGAATGGCTTGCTGAGTCCCACAGGCACCGTGGCTTCCTCCCTCCGTGCCTGCTCAGGCTGCTATCCATCCCGCACCTAAAGAGGCCCTTCCTCCACCACCTAGAGGTCAAAGACCATGTATTCTTCTAAGGTGGACCTCTCAGGTCATCCCAAGTCAAATCCATCTCTGCCATCCCTAGGCTGACACCACTAACATGATGATTAGCTCATGTTGGCAAAGGAGCAGCTCATGCCAGGCACTGATCTCTGTACTTTACATTCATTATTTCCTCCAGCTTTCAGAGTGACCTTAGGAGATGATAACATTAATACAGATTAGGGATCTTAAGCTCAGTGAAGTTAAATATTTGCGCCAAATCCTGTGGCCAGCAGGCTGAGTCAGGACCAGGGTGAGGCCAGCAAGGAGCCCAGGGCACGCATGCAAGGAGGTCCTCGCCTTCAGAGCCCACCCTGCTCTCACGTGATCCTGACAGTGATACCTCCCGAAATTTCACCCCCCATGTGTCTTGCTTGCCTCACCCTAGTCTGGGCCCTGGGTTGAGTAACCAAGAGAGGCACCTGAGAGGGAAGGACATGAGCCTGGAGGAACTCCTGGGAGCAGATGTGCAGGCAGTGGCTGAGTTGCTGGCGGGCATGCTGGGGGCCGGCTGTCCTGCTCCGACCAGGCAGGTCACACCAAGCCATAGCTTGCCTCATCTGTCCAACCTCGCCTGAGCTCTCAGCCACAGGGCCACACCCACTCCTCCCCCCAGGACTGATGTGGCTCTTCGTCTGCACCTCTCTGGTGGCCCTGGGTTGACACTAGGAACTGACGTTGTGATTTGCAATCCAGGTTCACCTCACTTGATTTTAGGCTTCCTGAGGACAGTGTTTGTGTCTGAGTCATGATTGCCACTTGGCAATGGCACCTAACACCTAGAGGATGAAGAATAAATGTTGGAAAAACAAATGAACAAAATGGCAGGTGGACAGAGTAGTAGAGAAATGGCCAGCACACTCACCACAGATGGCGTGAAGGACCACCTGCTGTCCCACGACTGGGCACTGGGATCAGGGGTCAAGTCCTCTCCACAGCCTCGCCGGCATGACCTCTGCAACCAGGGCACTGAAGGTGGCACAGAGGTCATGTTTTTTCTTTCTGGGCTCTTTTCTCTTTGAGCTTAGAGCACATGAGCCACTCAGATGTCAAAATCACACTGTCTGTCTGAAGGTCCAGCAGTCAGAGGCGGCCGTCAGGACTGGCATTGCCACGGGGTGGTGCTCAGGGACGGGCTCTGCTTCCCATGCCGCACATCCCCGAGGAGATGTAGGGGATGGTGAACTTATCCAGGGACAGCCTTCTCTTCTGCCTGCCCCCGAGCTGCTGCACGGACAGCCTGGGGCACAGGGAGCAGACACCTAACTGCACCCTGAGGGAGGCTGGGGGGACAGTGGGGTCCCCCAGACCTCTAGCAGCGGGACCACCCTCACAGGTTTCCTGAGCGATTTTAAAACAGCACAGGAAAAACTACGCCATTATCAGTCGTGGGCCTGTGTTCACAGACGGTAGTCACACAAAGCAGAAAATCCCAGAGGGTGAGGAGGGGAGGAATTCTTTCCCTCCTAAGAGCAAGAGGACAGGTCGTGAATTTCTGAGGAACTAGCACATTTCTAAGGACTAAACAGCCCCTCACATGTACTCCAGCCTCTCACCAGAATGTGGGGTGCAGACATCAGAAGGAACGTAGTTACTAATGTCCTCTATGACCACTCCGATCCCATGGCAATGTGCTCTTACCACGAGGTACCTGCTCTCAGGCACAGTCCCTAGGATGGCTCAGAAGCAGGGCTCTGGGGTCTCTCCCAGCACAAAGCCCTCCGCCCATGTGTCTTCTCCCTCTGGTTCCCTGCGTTCTCTAAAGTCCTGGGCTCTCACTTTACCTCAGGGCGAGCATTTCTGTCTCCCCTACAAGACACAGAGCTCTCAGAGGGTAGGGGCAACTTTTGCTTCCTCATCTTACAACACCTTGCACGTGAGAGGTACTCAGTGTTTACACGATCGCATCTTGCCAGCATGAACTCGTCAGAGGTTTTGTTGTTGCAGATGAGGAGCTGGAGATAAGAGCCCACAGAGTAACTACGGAGGAAAGAGGCCGGAAGCCCCACGAATGTCCAGCCTCAACTCCTCAAAATGCAGCAGCTTCCCAACCTCCTCCACCACCTGGTCATCGTTCCCAGGCACCCGGTCACCGTTCCCAGCCAACTGGTCATCGTTCTCACGCACCTGGTCATCATCCCCTGCCTCCTGGCCATCGTGTCCAGCACCAGCAGCGGAAGAGGCCTCCCCCTCCATCAGGCACACAAGTTCACCAGCAGAAAGGCCCTCCCCTTCCCAGGCCTCGTGTTCAACCAAAACCGCTGCAAGAGACCTTAGAAAACTCGTCTTTTAATTAAAAGCGGTAGAAACCGTCCTTTCCAATAAAAGGCACTGGGTTTCTCCACTGCAGGTGTGCACACTGCTCTTCCATCAGTGCCTTCTACGTGCAGAACATGAGGCTGGGCCACGCCATGTCTGCACCTTCTAACTCAGCCATGTGCCCTCACATCTGGAGTCTTTGGCTGCCTCAGAGATCTCCATCACATCAGAGAGGATGGTGGGTGATGGAGCACAAAAATTTTAAAAGTCTTCTTGTCTCCCTCTTGGGTCACCTGCAGATGTGATGACTCAAGGGGCTGCTGTGCCTGAGTCTCCTACAGGCAGCCCATCTGCTTGAGGCACTCTCAGGTTTCTCATGAGCCCACCATCCTGTGAGTAGAGGTGAAATAAAAGCTTTGACTTGAACCAGGGTCTGCTCATTGCAGAATGGAGCCCAGCATCAAGGAGAAGAAGCTGCTTAATGGAAAGAGGCTCGGTGGTATGCCTGCAGGACCAAATGTGATCAACCCAGTTCACCTGAGCCACCTTAGCCCCCACCAGAGCAACACTCCCAAGGTCTCAGCTGCGAAGCTGGGCCCGACACCCTACTTATAGATTTGTGTACTGAATTGAAACCTCTATGCACAAACTTCAACAGGAGGTGGCAGAAAAATTTACACCTGGTCTTGCTTCCTTGGCTGTTCATGGCCACAATGACCTGTAGAGTCATCCTTGAAAAGAGGGAAGTCCATGAATACTGAGGGTGCTGTGAGCCCATCAGATGACGTACAAAGGGCAGGCTAAGAGACAACTCAGTTGAATCAAATCGTAAGCATCTTAAGTGACCATTGTTAAAAGGTCAGACCCATCCTCAGCTAGCAGGTCTGAAAGTAGGGAGGGGAAAAAAAAACCAGTTTTCAGTTAAAGTTCTAAAACAATAGTCGGTGTGAAGGCACCAGCTTTGAAATGTTGATGCCATGTTTGTGGTCCCATCCGCCCGCCTTCTCCTTGATTTCTTAGACTTGCTAAACCTTGTTAAGCTCTGGCAGGAAGCTCTGAGGTCTAAACCACAAGACATAAGTATATTTGGGACTTCCTGTGAGAGCTCACAGGGGGGTGAACTGCTTTTCCCCCCTGAATCTGAGCATCTATTGTTTTAGCACCCAGAGTCAATTATTAAGGGCAGTGATGAATGAAAGCCCATAGCCTCCTGAAATTCAAGCACAACGTCCAGCTAAGCAACAGTCACCACAGCTTCTACCCAGTAATAGAGACGGGTCCTCGCACTGCACCCTTGCTCATTCTTCATTGCAGTGCCGCACGAGTCCATCGGCCATCCTGCCAGAACAGCCCATTCCCTTCAGGAGGCCTTTCCCAGCTTTTCCAGCCCTGTGCTCTGCCTTTCTTCTGAAGTCTTACGGTATTACACATGGCCCAGAATACATATTGCCTGTAACTATCCAGGTCTTCATCATTCATTCATTCAACAAGCATTTATTGAACTTCTACTACATATCAGGCTCAGCACTAGGTACTAGGAACACAGAGGGGTACAACTGCATCTCTGTTTTCAAAGAGCTCACAAGCTCGTGGGGGAGGGGTGGACAAATTACAGGA